GGAAATTCTAGGTAGGAGTCAAGCAGTGTTCCCTCTAAGCTGCAGTAGCCAAATCGCTTGCTCACAACTTTAATGCCAGTAGCACACAAAGTAGAATTTTTGCTCACAGGACTCCACAGTCAAGGGGGAGCAATGGAGTCAAGCCCCTGTCTAGGCTGGCCCTCTGCATCTCATTCTGAGACCTACCTAGAAACAGATCCCTGTTTGACAAAAAGAAGAAGGAAAATTAGCTGCTTCCTGAATTGACACACTGAATGCATCTACCAAACATCTACTGTAAATTGTGTGCGGGTGTGTGTGGGGGGGGAATGTTAAGGGACACCAGAAACATTATAGTTAAGCAAACACATACCTTTGCTAACTTTGGTTTTTGAGCGTAATTATTTAAGTTCAGTTTAGCCACATTTAAAAAGGGACCATCAGGATTTGTGAGCAGAGAGGCCTGAAGAAGGAAAAACAATACAGAACTGCATTAAACACTTGCTTGAAAATTACCATTAGGAGAAAAACCTCTAAAGCTGCAATCACACGTACAATTAGACCCGACATAGGTGCGAATGCTGGGTGGATTTAAAGGGCGTGATCAGACAACAACATCTGGGAAGCGCCACGCAGCCATCGGCAACCCATTCTGCTCTGCCGCAGAAGCGGAGTTAAAAGACACCAGGGAAACTCTGGTAGTAAATGGGTTGCAACGGGCCATGGATGGACTTTCGCTCCATGGATGGTCTGATTGCTCCAGCGTGCTCTCATAGCGTCAGGATGTCTGATCAGGCCATCCCGACTCCGTGCCGTTGTTTTTCCCCCCTTTGCAGTATGCGCATATTGCAAACTCCATAGGGAGCCCTCAGTGCGGAGGTGCGATTCATCAATCCCTTGTTTAAGTGCATGGGAAAAAACTGCACAAAAAACACGACTCACCCGCAGTGGCATCTGATCACACACTGATGGGCTGCACCTGCAGCTTCAAAGGGAGGTGTGATCATGCAACAGCGGGTCAAATTCCTTTGGAGGAAATAGCCTCACTCCCCCCCACACACCTGTTTTTTTCTGGCCCGTGTGACCGCACCTAAGAAACAAATATCTGAACAAAGACTGCAATCTATAATGGGGATTCACTTAGATCTCAATGATCACTGGGTTCCAGAAAGGCACACATAAATCTTCATATACTCAGCAGAGATTTTAGGTATCTTTTCTCAAAACACCGGACCAATGAAGTTGCTTCTGTTAGTCATGAAGCTATCAGAAGCTACTTCCATTCTGGTGCATAGTAGCTGTCACTTAAAAAAAATGCTTTAAAGACTGTATCATCACTAAAACAGACAAAGAGTGTTGAGAGTTAATCTAATGTGCTTTACAGTAATACTGCACAGGACTGCTGCACTATTGGCAGCTTAATTTTACCTAATGAAAACTGATCCCTCAAGGAATTGTTTATCTGGCTGGTTATTTAGAATTTTGCTAGTGGATTCGGCTCCTATTACTTTCAGATTAAGATTCTGTCTTTCCCCCCCTAGTATTTGGAAGTATCAAGAGTAAATAATTCCCATTCTTTGGGGGGAGGAATCAAAGGACTTACTTAAGTCTTGCATTTGGTGGTATTGAAAAATCCCCATATGCTGAATATCTATGGAAAATTATTTTTACCTATCCAAGGAGGCTACTTGGAAATCACAAGTGTCAACCAAGTTCTTATTTATTTATTATTTGTATTTATAGCCTGCCCATCCCGCGAGTGGGCTCAGGGCAGGTAACATCATAAAACATACAATAAATACAATTAAAATTAAACAATTCGAAAATAATAAACATTAAAACACAGTCACACTTCTAACAAATCAGCTGGCTGTGGGGGTTCCCTGGCATATTATTTGGATTGATAGGTGGGTGGGTGGGTGCAGAAACTTAAAATCTCTGATGTTAAAGCATGGTGAAAATCCACTGACAAGCAGTGGCTCCAAGTTAAAAACAAAAATTGAAGGTTTGGTATTTTCCTCCAATGTCACTAGTAAACAAACTATATATGTGGAGAGTTTGGCCTTCTTAGCTTGCCTGGAACTAAGATTGTCCAAGTTGGGCAGGCTATCCTCCTCTATATTTAAATTAGAAGCTTTTATATACAATGCAGATTAAAGAGATTTCAATTAAATGCCTTATGTCATACAGATAATATTCTGAAGTTGCAACTTGTACAATTACACTGCACAAAAATTATGTAGCAAGGTAAAGTACACAATATGGACTAGGCAGATGAAGGGGAAGGAATCAGCTTGCTGGTTTATCGTAAAGAACATACAGAAAACAAATGGAGACCATGTGATGAACAGTACAAGCAGATTGATGATCGTTCCTGTCCCTCACCGTTCCAAGCCTGACATATCTCCCTGAAGCACTAGTCATTGGACGGGCAGTGTGAGCAGTTCTTGGAGTCCTTATGGCCTGTTCCATAGTGCCTGGTCGTCCACCTTGTGTGCTGGGTCGCACAAATCCTGTAATGGGTCTCCCTGTCTGAGTCACTGGCCTGAAATCATACAGATTCAACTATGTTAGTGCTGAACTGACGTGCTCTACTGATATAACAAAGAAAGCATATGTGCCCAAACCTGGAAATTTAAAATAAAGACATCTGCTTGTTTTCATGTGTGTGCACCTGAATATATCAGTATTCAGTTTTTGTAATCAACACCCTTGGGGGGATTGAATAAAAATAAGCATGCAATTAAACAGCTTTGGTCCTAGGGCACGGTGCCCCCTCATGCTTATCTCTGGCCACCACAGAGGCTTTCCTCTGCTGTAGCGCTCACTTCCTCTGCCTCTAGGACTTCATTGTACGCAAGAGCTCCTTGAAAAACACTGATCTTGAGTGAAAGCCTCCACAGAGGCCAGAGGGAAGCTCGAGGGGAACAATATCATAGGATCCAAGCCAGTGTATTTTAGGTTTATCTGGAGAAATGACTTATAACACCCTTCATACTGCCTAACATTTCTTCTGCATTATTTAAATGTTTGTGGGTTTAAAAAAATTAGCTTATTTCTTTCTATTCAGACACTTCCAGTGCAATCCTAAAGACACTTTCCTGGAGTAAGCCCCATTGAATAACATGGGACTTACTTGGAGGTACTTACTTCCAGGTAGACCAGCCTATGATGTTCTCCCTGCTCCAGAGAGAGCTAGAGTTTCTACCATATGTGTTTGCAATGCAGCAAAATTATAGTTTATCTAATGGACACACAACTAAAAAAAGATCACCCAACCCAAAAAGGAGCCGATCGTTTTATTCATTTAAAAGCACATTCTGTATTTAAATGATACCGCAAAGTGGCTTACAGTTTAATAAAATATGAACCATAAAAGACATCATAGCAACCAGCGGAATAAAATCTAGAATAACTCAGAATCCAACCAACAGCCAAATAACTTCTTCCTCCTCCACCTCAATCCAAAAGAGGGTAGTTTGGATTGTAGGAAGCACCCAAGGGCAGGATACATCAGGGGTAAAAAACCAGCAGGGGGACAATCCAACCCAAAAGGAAGTGTGAAGAGTAGAACGGAGAAATAATAAGTCATCTTAGAGACTTCTCATTGGATAGCATTTACCAGTTAAGCCCAACAAGTGACCAGAATACAACAAATACACTTCTGAACAAGTTAAGTGAATTGAGTACCTAACAGCTTGGCTGGGACCTCCAGCCTGACTGGTTCCAGGGAGCTTCAATGAAGTACCAGGACCTACACAATAAACAAAGGTGTCATTAATATTTTAAAGCTCAATCATATCTCCATTCTCCCTCTCCATTCACCATTTTTCTTTTGTTGCCTTCTCCACTAAAAAGAAGGCAAGGCTCAAGCCACAGGATATAAATACAAATGGGAACCCCTGGCATCTGAAGAGGTTATCTCAAACAATGCATATATTGCAACTGGATTATCGTGTTTGCACATGTAAAGTCATTCACTATTGATAAAATGTTTTTTGGACATATGGGAATTTAAACGTAAATAAAATGAAGACATTAAAACTTGCAAGATGAAACCAAGTTAACAGAACAAAGCTTTGAAAGCAAGTATGTCTAAAACAGACAAATCAGATGAAAATACTTTATAGGGTAATTGACATTCATTGGACAGTGCTCACATCCACGGTTTACCATGTGGGAACAAAGTCACCACGTAAGCAACTGTGAAGAAGTAATTCTGAAATCCTGGGGAGGGGCTTGTAGTCTGAAGGACCTGGTATTAAGCCAAACCCAAATGTTCTTCCTTTTTTTGCTAGATACAAAACATTCTGAGATTTGTGGCCCCTATACACATTGTGCTTACGTGCAACTTGCGCAATAGCATTTTCATCAAGCATCATCTCAGCAATGCCTTCCTGATCCACATCGATTTCATCCACATAAACCATTTCTGTTAAAGCTCTTATTTTCAAGCACCAAGCGGCCTAGATCAGAGATGAAAGAAAGGACCAATGTTAACATTCGGTAGCTAGAAATGTACATAAGCGCAATATAGCATAGCATCAGTGGGCTTTAATATTTTTCTTTGATTTTATATATGAGACTATAGATTAATCTGTAATCGTGCAGGAGTAGGGAGAGGGGATAAAACTGTGGGACAGTGAATGGAAACCGACTGCATTCTCACTTGCAGCACAAGTCCAAAAAGCCAGAAAGAACCACCTTAGAAACATAATGCTGGAAGAGACCTCAAGGGTCATCTAGTTCAACCCCCTGCACAGCGCAGGAAATTCACAACTACAGTGGCCCCTGCTCGATGCCCAGAGGAAGGCAACCCCCCCCCCAGGATCACTGGGCCAATCTGGCCTGGAGGAAAATTCCTTCCTGATCCCAAAATGAGGATTGGCATTATTCTGGGCATGTAAAGAAAGGGCCACAAAAGCAGAGCACTGGTTCATCCCTTCCTGCCCTCCCTCTCATAATCTTTCCAAATCCACAGAATCTGCATTGCTGTCAGATGGCCATCAAGCCTCTCCTTAAAAACTTCCAAAGAAGGAGAGTCCACCACCTCCCAAGGAAGCCTGTTTCACTGAGGAACCACCCTCCCAGAAAGTTCTTCCAAATGTTTAGCTGAAAACTTTTTAAATTTAATTTCAATCCATTGGTTCTGGTCCAACCTTCTTGGACAACAGAAAACAACTCTCCTCCATCCTCTACATGACAACCCTTCAAATACCGGATGATGGCTATCATATCACTGCACAGTCATCTCCTGTCCAAGCTAAACATAGACAGATCCTTCAATCTTCCCTCATTGGATAATCTCCAGACCCTCACTGTCTTCGTTGACCTCCTTCAGACCAACACGGCTGCCCACCTGGATCTATCTCCTCTGGACGTTACAGCTTGTCAACATTCTTCTTAAACTGCAGTGCACAAAACTGAACACAATACTCCAAGTGAGGTCTAACCAGAGGAGAGTAAAGTGATACCATCATTTGTGTGATCTGGACAGGGTACTTCTGTTGATGCAACTCAAAATCGCATTTGCCTTTTTTAGCACCGCATCACACTGCTGGCTCATGTTCAGTGTATGGTCTACTAAGGACCCTAGATCCCTTTTGTAAGTACTACTACCAAAACAAGTCTCCCCCATCCTATAATTACGCTTTTGATTTTTCCTACCTACATGCAGAACTTTAGATTTATCTCTGTTGAAATTCATTTTATTAGTTTTAGCCCAGTTTTCCAGGATGTCAAGATCACCCCGTACGTTCTCTGTCTTCTACTGTATTTGCTACCCCTCCCAATTTAGTATCATCTGCAAATTTAATGAGCATCTCCTCTATTCCTTCATCCAAGTCATTTATAAAGATGTTGAACAACACAGGGCCCAGGACAGATCCCTTACAGACTCCGCTTGTTATTCCTCCCCAAAAGGACCATCAACAAGTACTCTTTAGGTAGAGTCTGAGACCCAGTTACAAATCCAATTTACAGCAATAGGACCCAAAACACATTTTACCAACTTCTCAACAAGAACATCATTTGGAACCTTATCAAAAACCTTACTGAAATCAAGACAAACTATGTTCACAGCATTCCCCTAATCCAACAAAGTAGTAACTCTCTCAAAAAAGGAGATAAGGTTAATCTGACATGACTTGCTCTTGAGGAACCCATGCTAGCTCTTAGTAATCACATCCATTATTTCTAGATGCTCAGGAACTGACTGTGTGATGATTTGTTCTAAAACCTTTCCAAGTATAGATGTCAAACTGATGGATAGGTAGTAACCTGAATTCTCCTTTTTCCCCTTCTTGAAGATGGGGCCAACATTTGCCCACCTATAATCATCTGGACAGAGGCTCCAAAAATGTACCAGCAAGTTCCTTTAGTACCCTTGGATGCAATTCATCTGGCCCCGAGGACTTAATTTCATTTAAAGAAACTAGGTATATACCGCCCCCATTTCTGAAAAGACTCCATGGGTAACAACTAGCGAAATATGGCTCCCACTTCCCCTGTGACCCTCTTCCCCCAGAAGCCCCCTTTAATGCCTAAAAAGGGAATGTTGGATGTTGCAGGTCTGGTATGGACAAACAGCTATGCAGATAATCTCTACTAAAAGTAAAGAATCTTAAAAATATCAGCACTGATTTAGGGGATTCTGTTAACAGGATATTTGACTTCTAAATGTATTACTTAATCATACTTGGCATTATAGTACATACAGAGCATCACACATACACTGATTTGCTTCAAAAACAATAAATACTTTTGATACATATGGTTTCCTTCCATTTCCCCCTTTTAAAGCTCATGTACAAAATTCTGTAAATGCTTAGTTCAACACTATTTTTAAAAAAGAAAAAAAAGGAGAGGGTGTGTGTAAGCTTTCTGAAAGGGAAAATTCTTGAGGAAAACTCAGATGCAGGTACAGATCTGCCTAACACAAGTTAAAAATCTTGATTCTTCAAAGGTAGAGCAGGTTAAAAAAATCAATGAAAAAAAAATATCCAAAACCACATAGCAATACTTTCAGAAGTCTATTATCATTTGCAACAGGCTCTGAAAAAGGTATACACAGACATCAGTGAATTGCACTAACTAAATATCTACAGTGTTCAGCAGAGATGAATCAGGTTATCAAATGAAAGCCTCAATCTTCCTTGTAATGGATAAAAAAATCTTGGACAACAAGGCCTGCAGGTTCATGTGTTCCCCTGATCATTTATTAAGAATGTAGGAAGCTTACAGAAGTCAAGGGATAGAGCTACAATGATAAAACAGAGCTGTTAAACTAATGAGAGACCCTTTTCAAAACACAGAACAGACTACCATATTCTTTTGAATAAAGACTGGGATTTTATTCACCACTGACTAAAATGCACTACCAAGTAAGTATTTCAAACCAAAAATAAAATGAAAAGCCCAACTGTCTTCAATAAAAGGATAGTTAGCAAAAAGCTACCGCAGTAGTGGCCTTTCTGTTCCTTCAAAGTACAGTATAGCTTAATAAAGAAACAGTTTAATGCACTTCAACTGTCTAACTCTTACACAGACTACAGCCTCTCAAAAATATTTCACAGATTCATCCCCAGAGGGCCGAGACATCCATGAACAACTATGAGAGAAAGCAGTGTACTTTAAGGCAGGAAGACAAAGTTATATAAGCAACTATTTATCAGCCAGTTTTAAATAACCTACAATAAAAGATGCTTGTAAAATCTGAATCTAAGGCAAATATGTGCCTGCATAGGAAAGGCGCAGAGTAGATGTGTGGCACACTGTACACATTTTGCAATCAGTAAATAAGTCTCTGGCTATCCCAAAGCAAATTAAAATAAAATTTAAAAAAGGCAGAGAGCCAGAAGAGGATGTAGGACCAACATAATACAGTCACTCTAACCGAAGGAGAATAGTAATTTTGAGGGAAGTTCTAACTCAGGGTCCAGCATTCAAAGGCCATTTCCACATAGGTTACCTGCGTTGGGTTCAATGCTGTTGGGGAGTGGGGTTTTCCTGCTTCCCACAGCATTATGGGAGACTTTTAAAAAGGGGGGGGAGGAAAAAGTGTTACATGTATTGTTATAACACTGTATTGATATAACAATATTCTATTGCTTTTTAAAAGATGAAAAAGCCCAAGTGACCCAGGGAGTAGCCACTCCTGGGGGACTGGGGCAGGCAAACTACAGAGAAACCTGCTATACAACGGGGCCATGGCAATTTATGGTCCCATTACATCCAGGTTAGATTACTGTTGCAGCCGGATTAGCCAAGTTTGGCCTGAGCTTGTCAGGGCTTGGGAGCTCAGCAGGGCTAGCCACAGTCAGTACTTAGATGGGAGACAACCAAGGAAGACTGGAGTTACTCACTGAAGGAAGGCACCGGCAAACCACATTGGCTCATCTCACGCCTGGAATGCCCCATGGAAGAGGGTGCCATGCAGAGTTCCCTCTAAGCTGAGTTAGTGTGAGCTAGCTTACAGTTTTTTAGCCCCCAGCTCACCTATTTTTGTCTTAGCTCAGGAAGGATGGCTCCAGAGCAAACTAATTTATGCAGTAGCCAAATCGCTCGCTCACAACTTTAATGCCAGCATTTCACGAAGTAGAATTTTTGCTCACAAGACTCCACAGCTTAGAGGGAACATTGGTGCCATGAATCAGTTGTGACTCAACAGCACCTTCTCTTCCATTCTTGACACCTTACAGTCTCCATTTCCCTTCTTTGTTCAGTTTTTCTTTCCTTCCTCCAACCCATCCACTCACTTCTTTGTCTAATCCATCGCCAGCGTTGGAATGAAGCTACAGCGGCCATGGATGCACAACAGCCCATTTCCAAGGCTGAGGTGATCACCCCCCCCTCTTAAAAATTAACTATCTCTTTGATTCAGCCAGCTACCCTCCTCCCAGCAGATTTAAGTAGTCAGAAAGGCAATGGGTATACACGCAGGTGGTAGAGACCTCAAATCTCCAAAGAGCCTGTCCACATCCTCAGACGGAATAAACTGGAAAGTATCCCAAACAACTCTGGCACCATCTGACCCTGACACTGTTAATGCAGAGTCCAAGTTGGAACAGATACAAGAGATCTGCATACTGAGCAAAATGGTCACACTTACTTTTCCACTTAATAATTTTTTGGTTTTCACTCTGTCCCTTCCAAATTTGTAGTGGCACCTTGCCATTTGAGCAGATATCATTCTTTACTAATACGTGAGTCACTAAGTATAAAGGCAAACATAGAACCTAAACCAGAAGCTCCAGAAGGAGCAATGTAGGCTTGGGGTGAGAGACAACAGGAAAAAGGTAGTTTCCTTGTGCTTGGACTGTTTTAGTGTGAACAGTGTGAATTACACACATAACAGCAGGTGCTTGACAAAAGACATAAGGGAACCATGACTGAGCAGATTACAGACATTGCACCAGCCTGAAAAATACAGCTTTGCCAGACTTCAGTACAACCATTCTGCCATGAA